TCTTCTGACAGTGGCCAGTGCCAGATGCTTCAGAAGGAATGAAGAGAACAGGGCAATTTAACGAGTGATCCATCCCCCGTCGTCCAGTCCCAGCTTTTGACACTCAGAGGTTTAGGGACACCCAGAGCATAGGATTGCGTCCCTGACCACCTGGAGTAATAGTAATTGATGGACCTATCCTCCATGAATTTAACTAATTCTCTTTTGAACCTAGTTATACTTTTGGCCTGCACAACATCCCCTGGCAATGAGTTCCACAGGTTAACTGTGCTTTGTGTAAAGAAGTACTTCCTTATGCTTGTTTTAAACCTCCTTCCCATTAATTTCATTAGTCTACCCCTGGTTCTTGTGTTATGTGAAAGGATAAATAACACTTTAGCATTCATGATTTTATAGACCTCTATGAGATGCCCCCCTGATTAGTTGTCTCTTTTTTAAGCTGAACAGTGCCAGTCTTTTTTAATCTCTCATATGGAAGCTGTTCCATCCTCCTAATAATTTTTGTTCCCCTTCTCTGTAATTTTTTTTCAATTCCAATTATATCTTTTTTGAGATGGGGCGACCAGAACTGCACACGGTATTCAAAGTGTGGGTTTACCATGGATTTAAATAGTGGCATGATGTCTGTCTTTTATTATCTATCCCTTTCCTAATGGTTCCTAAAATTCTGTTAGCTTCTTTGACTGTTTGTTGTCCAGTCACCTAGTGTTGTGAGATCCCTTCGTAACTCTTCACTGTCTGCTTTGGACTTAACTATCTTGAGTAGTTTTGTATCGTCTGCAAACTTTGCCACTTCACTGGATTACCCCTTTTTCCAGATCATTTATGAATATGTTGAACAACACTGGGCCCAGTACAGATCCTTGGGGGACCCTGCTATTTATCACTATCCATTCTGAAAATGGATCATTTATTCCTACCCATTATTTCCTATCTTTTAATCCTACTTTGCTTACAAGATTTTGGTGAGGGACTTTGTCAAAGGCTTTCTGAAGGTCCAAGTACACTATAGCCATTGGACCACCTTGTCCACATATTTGCTGACCCCCTCCAAGAATTCTAATAGATTAGTTAGACGTGATTTCCCTTTACAAAAGCCATGTTGACTTTCCCCAACCTATTGTGTTCATCGATGTATGATAATTCTGTTCTTTACTAAAGTTTCAACCAACTTGCCTGGTAATGAAGTAAGGCTTCCCGGCCTTTAAGTGGAGCCTTTTTAAAAAATCTGCATTATATTTGCTATCCACTAATCATCTGGTACAGAGTCTGTTTTAAGCGATACGTTACGTACCACAGTTGTTAGTTCTGCAATTTCATATCTGAGTTCCTTCAGAACTCTTGGGTAACTACCATCTGGTCCTGGTGACTTATTTATCAATTTGTTCCAAAACCTCCTCTATTGTCACCTCAATCTGGGACGGTTCCTCAGATTTGTCACCTAAAAAGAACGGCTCAGGTGTGAGAATCAACCTCACATCCTCTGCAACAAAGACAGCTGCAAAGAATTCATTTAGCTTCTCCGCAGTGGCCTTGTGTTCCTTGAGTGCTCCTTTAGCACCTCGATTGTCCAGTGGCCCCACTCATTGTTTGGCAGGCTTCTGCCTTCTGATGCGCTTAAAAAAAATTTGCTGTTAGTTTTTGTGTCTTTTGCTAGTTACTCTTCAAATTATTTTTTGGCCTGCCTAATTATACTTTCATTTGACTGGCCAGAGTCTATGCTCCTTTCTATTTTCCTCAGTAGGATATGGCTTCCAATTTTTAAAAGATGTCTTTTTGTCTCCAACTGCCTCTTTGCTATGTTAAAAACATAAGAACGGCCATATTGGGTCAGATCAATGGTCCATCTAGCCCAGTAGATTCATAGATTCTAGGACTGGAAGGGACCTCGAGAGGTCATCGAGTCCAGTCCCCTGCCCGCACGGCAGGACCAAATACTGTCTAGACCATCCCTGATAGACATTTATCTAACCTACTCTTAAATATCTCCAGAGATGGAGATTCCACAACCTCCCTAGGCAATTTATTCCAATGTTTAACCACCCTGACAGTTAGGAACTTTTTCCTAATGTCCAACCTAGACCTCCCTTGCTGCAGTTTAAGCCCATTGCTTCTTGTTCTATCCTCAGAGGCTAAGGTGAACAAGTTTTCTCCCTCCTCCTTATGACACCCTTTTAGATACCTGAAAACTGCTATCATGTCCCCTCTCAGTCTTCTCTTTTCCAAACTAAACAAACCCAATTCTTTCAGCCTT